TGGGGCGTGGCTTATCGCATCGTCGGTGCATGGGGTTGAAGGTATGACTGCCAAGCTGTCTCCCTTCGCGCTCGCTGATTCCTGTTCGTTTTAGCAGTGTGTAGTCTGATTATCTCGGACTAGCTCCTCATTCGTCGGGTAAGTCCTTTGAAGCGAACCTTCGGAACGTATCTATTCAATCTGTTCGCTCGCTGAGTCTGTCTATAGCGTTCGAATCTTCACAGGCCCGACCCACAACTCGGTGCTGCCACGGGCGGCGCGTCTCTCTCCACTCCACCCAATTCTCCGTCCAACCCCGAATCATCCAGCAGCGACACGCGCCGGTCGACAATGTGCGGTGGACAATAAATACCGCGCGCTATCGGCAACCCTCGCAGCGGTTCCCCCGCGGTGTTTGCACCGTCGCTCTTCGACAAGCCGCATAGCGGGCGGTGTCTGCTTTGCTGCGAGCTTCAGTCGGGGATGCACGTGGCCGGCGCAGATGCGTTCGGGGCCGGTTTTGGCGCGAGTGCGTGCAACGTATTTGTGCGCCTCGAGGAGACTCGAGTCACGGCAGGACGAAACGAGTTGGACATGGCGTGAAGGGCGAATACGTGTGCATGTGCGCAAATCCATATCGATCTAGGTCTGGACTTATAATTAATAAACACATTCAAGAGTATAAAGCTGCATTTTTAAGTACAATACAAATTGGTTGGGCGCTCTTGGTTTTACGGCCTCGACCCCGCGTCGAGGGGGCGCCCGTCGTCGAGGAACTATCTACTGAACAGCAAGGATATGATGACCGCGAAATGTATGTAGATTCAACACGCTAACCCCCCGACGAGCGACGTCTTGAATGGGCGGAGGTCCCGTTGGAGCATCGAAGTGGTGAAGGATCAAGCCTGGAACGCTCACGCTCTAACGCCTCGTCCAAGCCGTACCGGTACCGTGTTAACGTTTCCGCGGGAGTCTTCGACGCTCGCCGAAGCTCGCATCTCGTCCTAGGGGGCAGTACGAGGCTACTGCGCAGGGCTGGTCAACCTGCAGAACTCACCCCCCAGCTCTCTAGTTAGATCGCCGAGGAGGACCCCACAGACGCACCCGCCCGCCAGCGCTCCCCCTTGTCAGATACCCGCCGGCCGTTGTAGACGTTGGAGGGACTCGATGCGCGTCGCCGAGGCCGTCACCAGCGTGGGCGTTCTGGAATAGCCAAGAAGCGCGGGTAAGGGTTCGTATAACGAGTGTACTCACAGTGCGGTGAACGTTGCGACAAGGGACAAACGGCGGAAAGGGCACGAAACTTGGCGATAGACAGCGATGGTGGTGGGAGTAGAGAGCAAGCTGTGAGTGTTTGTTGTGGCTGACCGCTTGATGCGAACGTTGAACCGGCATTTCCCGAATTGCCATCACACACTCTCCACGATGAGCTCGACAAGAATTTCCACTGCAGCACGCGAAGCTCTCTCCGCAGACCCGCGCCGCGGATACCCGCCCGACATAATTGGCAAAGCACGTAGAATTGAGCGGAAAGACGCTGTTCACAAGCAGCTTTTGGAGGCCGACGCCGAAAAGATCGCGAAACAGATCATCGTGACGGAGATTTATTCTGCCCTACCCACCGAGCACCAAGTTCAATCCACAGTTGAGGCAGGTCAACGGGGCTTCCAATAAGCACACTAAGTACCATTGGCATCATCGGCTCAAATATTTTATGAGTAGGACGTTTCACGCGCAATCCTCGAGTCCCTCGTTGCTGGGGAGGGCTTCCAAATCGGCGGAGCGGCCTGTCCAGGGTTCTTCCTGACCGCGTTCGCTGCGTTTTGCGAAGACAACGATCCCGATCGCGGTGCAAGCTTTCTAACAAGCCGACTTCAAGAAGTATCGAGTGCTATCAAGGACGTCACGAAAGACTTGCGAGTCATCTTCCCGTTGTTTCAACAAAACTCACTGAACCACGTTGTAGACCCTCGATGGATTCTTCTACGCAAGCTTCGCCGCACTCGGATCCAAGCCCGGGCCGCCGAGAGCTTTTCCAGTTTGTGGAAGCTTTCCAAACCGGACAGGCTGTACAGGTAGGGTTCAGTATCTCTCATGTCCAAGTCCGGTTTTCAGCGGAACGTTCCAGAGCTCCGTCTTAGAATCATCCAAGGGCTCGTCATTACGGTTGCCAACAAGTCCCAGCTTTGTTTTTGATTGCGCTCGTTTATTTTATCCGTTTGTTCTCTTCCTCCACGACCTCTATGGCCTACTGCCCTCGTACACAGCCCAGCAGCGATGTCGGGCAGGGTAGCACTAGCCTATAACCGCTCCATTGGGCCACCAACCCACATCAGCGGGCCTGCAACCGCCTGCATCCACGTCCCCGGCCTTCAATCCCATGAAGGGTTCAGCATCACTATGAGGAGGGGTGAAGAGCGTGTTGTGGGTATGACCACCGCTGCAGCACCGGTACGTGATGACGAGCCTGCCCAACTCTTGCCTCTTGAACCAAAATACGCAGCGCACGTCATCGCCCGCTGACCCGCCATCCGTCTGCTGAACGCGCGCCATCCGCTCGCCCTCGCTCCGTGGGACACCGGCGCGTGCATGGTTATGTCCACACACAGCCGGTGTGATGGTAAGGTCTGGGCGGTACGATAGCGCGGTGTTCGAGGGTGGTGCCGATGGCGCATTCATGAAGAATGGCGCGACAGCGCGTCAATATTCGCACTGTCTATACACACCAGAGTCACAGCCAGCAGCGGTTGGCGTCGTCCGCATTCATGAGGACGGCGGACGCACTGTACTTAGTCCTTTATACTGTCCGAAATACACGCGCCAAACGCAAGGTCGGCGTTTGATAGCTGCACAGTGCACGCATGGTGTCTACATAGCTGCTAGGGACCCTCATAATAGCTTGTAGTGCCTCAAATTGTACGAGAAGAAGCGTCAAAAGGGTTCAGCGAAAACAAAACAAAGCTGGGACTTGTTGGCAACCGTACGTCATCTACAGAAACGGAAGATGCGGAGTTAGTAGAGCAGAGCCGTGGCTAATTTTGGGTCGCTGTATCTCGCTAGCTTCAAGTAAATGGCATTTTTTCTGTCATTCGACTGGGCCTTGACTGCTTGTTTCTGTATTCCATTTTGTACCGATAACTTCAAGCTTTAAGCTTTGAAATATTGAATGTGGGAAAACTCGACACGATCGTGATCGTCACACTGGCAGAAACCTTCTTCTTCTTCTTACCACCACCTCCGCGCGCTCTCCTCTCTCCTGTACGCGTCCTTCACCACCGATTCGATAGCCCCCGATGTCCGACTTCATTACGACTACCGCCGACGCGCACCTACATAAGCTTATCCGGGAGTCAGAAATTCTGCGTCTACCACCTTTGGCACCAACTTCGTGGGCCCTGCTCTCTGCCTCCTCCAGCCCAAACGCACGTCTTCTCCACATTGGCGAGCTAAACCTCCTGTCGATACTCTGTCCCGTGGTTACCTCCGCCGTGTACTATCAGAAGGAAAAGGATTTTGTGTCACTGGATAACAAAGAGGTTCGTCGTTTTCTGGTAAATAAACGGCGCCAGGAAGCTGAACGTTCCACCAGGTAGTTACATCGCTGCTATTGAAACCGACAACCACGCACGGCATCCTGTCAAGAATCAAGAGTTACGGGGACGAGCCCAACTGTCCCTTCCAGACTTCCGAGCCCGAAATCGTACACAAATTCCTCCTAGAGTACATCGGCTATCTGGTGACGGAGCGCAAGTACGGGCTGCGCAATCTGCGCCCTTGCGTCATCGAAACGTACCGGCCGTTGGCCAAACGCGTCGTCCAGACGATGTAAGTTCTCTCAACACCTGTGATCGCGTCCCACAGCCTGAGGCTGAACTCCAATAACAGGACCATGTGCTCGCTGACTAAAGCGCGGAAGAGGGAAGCGTCTGCGGGCCAGACAAAGGCGGTGAAAAGGGCTAAAGGTACGTTGTATGGTCCAGCCTGGCGTTATTCTTTCACATCCGTCTCAGTCATACCCTCAACAAACTCTGTTGGGCGCGAAAGTGCGTGTTAACGGCGTTATACCTCTGCTTTTTCTAACGAGCTTGAATCCCACCCTAGTCGTCGCTGCGCCATTGAGGGCCGTCCTGACCGGCGAGTCCGTTTGTCGGGAAATAATCCGTATTTAACACGGTAATACAGATCGCACCAATGGCAATGCGCCTCTGGCTAGCATCCCTTACGCCACTGCCTTCAAGGTCTGTTCTTTCTTTCCAACATGCAACAGCCTTTTATCTGAACAACACCGCAGTCGCCGCCTCCCAAGCCGCGCATGAACCCTGCTGCCGGGTCCTCAAGAGCGACCCCGATCATTCTAAGCCCATAGATGGACGCCCCCGCACTCCTTCCGCCTCACACATGCTACGCCGACAACTACTGTATCGCACTATCCACGGATCCGGAGGACGCCATTTGTAAATTGTACTCGTAAATCTTACACATTTTTTTTTTTCATGCCTACTTTATCCCGACACAAACTATATTCCTCTTACATGTAACGATAGCTATTTCATGTGTCTCGATGACTGGACACAGTACGATATCGTGCACTAGACCCAGGTCACCCACATTGTAAATGTAATTGCATTATATTGCAACATGAAACACGGACGGCGGATTCACGTTCTCAGTTCTCAGTCGGTTTCGCGCAAATAAGAAAGGATGCTTAACCGATGCCCAATGGTTTCATAGCTGAACATTTTGGAAAGAAGTGAGTTGGAAGTGAGACCACAAGCCATCGGCGTCTACACTAAGCACGCGCAAACAACCGCTTTCTGCCGGATAAGGAAATTTTGGGCCAATACCTTCGTTTCGACCGAGTCCGGGGATAGAACTGAACTGGAGATCCAGATGCATTATCCCCCCGCTAATGCGATGGCAAACCAGCCAATTCTCGGAATCCAGATTCATCGATCGCTAGACTATCTGATTGCGCCGGAAAAGAAAAGATTCGCTTAGAAACCGGTCTCGCCAGCAAAACATGATTTGAGTGGGATTCGAACCCACGCCCTTTCGGACCAGATTACTGGAAATGAATCCTGGCAAGTGGTCCCTGAGGAAGCTGATCCTTAGTCTGGCGCCTTAGACCGCTCGGCCATCCAACCGTAAATGAGAGCGCATATCCTTGGTACACAATTTATTGTGCCACATAATCTCATATCCGACCCAAGGATCCGTGGGTCACTTCAAGGTCACTTTAAAAGTTTGTAATTTTGACAAAGTCGTATCCACCCCAAGGATCCATGGGTCACTTTTAGTCAAATCCAGGGTTCCATGAAGTTCAGTCTTCCCACTCGAATGATTTTCTCAAAGTCAAAGTCTCTTGGCTCGAGAGTCGATGCTGTTATTCAACCAGAACCGGCCTTAAGCGTTACCTGACGATCCTGAGTTCAATTTAAATTTTCACGAGAACAGCGGTATCCACTCTTCCTGTCTCTTCCAGAGGCGTCATAGACGTCTTGACGCTCGACGTTCGATGCTGTTAGTCAGCGAGAACCGGCCTTCAAAGTTATCCAACGATCCTGGGTTCAATGTGAATTTTCACGTTAAGCCAGTCAGGTCTTCCCCCGTTGGTGTGATTGCCGTTGTAGCGTTCAAGAGTTCCCAAAGTGAGCCGTGCATTCTTTGGTCAAATTTATTCCTTCACACCAAGTTACAATCCGAGCTGACTTTGCCTCTTGGTGTCCGTGGTCTGGTAGAAGAACCCGGTCCAGAGGGATCTCGATCCTTGAGTCGGATATTCCCCCGTTGCAAACACGCATATGGATCCTTGAATCCCCAGGTTTTAGTTTTCTCAGGGTCCCATACTTGGGTCGAGTTGGGGGTAGGAGGTCAACACGGGGTTCAAAGTTGGGGCGGTCGCGATTGTATGTCTACTCATAATCAGATTATTAATTGGGATTGATACACATTTCGGCTTTGGAAGCGAAGAATAACACGCAGCACATAAACTAACACGGTGATCGAGAGTACACAGCAGCACAATGTTCTTAAACTTTGCAGCTGGAAGGACCGGTTAGGATAGAAGAATACGACCAAGCCGTACGACTCACCAAGAGATGGTAACATACAGCACACAGTCCAGGCAATCGAGAGCCCAAAGCGGCTGCGAGGGCCGGTTAGGAACGAAACGACGACCAACTTGCACGACTCACCAAGAAACATAAAAAGACATCACATGAGAGGCTCGCACTGACACACAACATCCTCATGAGCAAGTTGACGCTCCGCCCATTCCTTCTCAATATAGTACGGGGAAATCTTCACCGCCGAGTAATCCACAGCCTTCTTCACCAGGAACGCCGAATCCGAGCGCAAGTCCGCCACGACGACGCTATCCGTCTGCAGGATGACGGTGTCGCCCTTCCTGAGCAAGGAGCAGGGCCGCATGTGCTTGAGCGGGAGTTTGACCTCCGTGTCGGTGTCGTCGAAGCGCACGATGTAGTTGTGGCTGCGGTACCTCACGCGGCGCTGCACGACGGCGGAGTAGTAGTGCTTGTCCTCCGCCCAAAGCGCGAAGACGCGCGTGCCGACGATCTCGGTGACGGAGGCGCGGCGTTTTCTCTTGCGCGCTGAGTAATGAACGAAATGGGTGATTGAAGGGGGAGGATTGCATGGAGCACGCACGGTTCACATTGGACATTGGCTGCTTCAATTGGATAATTTCCCCGGTCTTGAACTTGCACAACTGGTCGGGGTTGCGACTCCCACAGTCTGCGTTGGCCCAAAACAGCCCCACCGCGTGTTTGCTGCCCTTGAACGACTCGATGGGCTCCCATCTGAAGATAAGGGTAAGAGTTAGTAATTTCACAATGCCGCATGAACGTACGTGCAATGATCGTAACCGTCCCACTCGCGAAAAATAAAATGTAAGCGAACAAATGATACTCGTGGTATCAAATTTACCTCCGCGAGGTATTCCTAGTTCACGAAGCATACGTTAACGCGATTCAGAACAAACTCGTAAGGACGTACCCATATTACTTTGTTCGGTCTTCTGGCTCCTTCGGTGACAAGTCTGGCCTCAATGATCCTTTCTGCGGATCCAGCAAGTTAGCATTTTGTTTCCAGAGGCTGCGGCGATCACTCACTAACAAAGAAGAGCTCCGGTTCAGTGGTACTGGGGGTTTTCTTAGAAGCGGCGAACTCTCTGCGGGGACGGGTGCGCGAGGATGAGGATGACGGAACCGCTGGGGTTGACATTGAACGTGGGCGCAGTGCTCGGGAGGAAAGCGACAGGGAGTTGATGGGTATCGTATTCCCAGCGGCCTTGCGGGAAGCACGACGTAGGGACTCTGCGAAAGATTCGAGGGTATGTCCACCGGGCACAGCAGGCGAATCTATCCGCGCCTCGGTGACCCTGACGGAGCGCGTGACGTATGGAATGGCCTCGCGAGAGTCTACAAACCCGATTAAAAACGCCCCAAATCGACCAAAGAGTCAAGCTCACAAAGTGCTGAAGACTCCATATCCGTGGTTGCACGGGCTACGGACGCATTCCTAGTCACTAGACGAATAGAGTTCTCAAGGAGAAAAAGAATGTGAAAGATCAAACTTACCATGTCTCGGCTCATTTTGCGGTGCCCCAATAATCAGGTCGTCTGCCGTGAGGCGCTTGCGCTGGCTCGGAAGTCTCTTTTCTTTGCTTGCTCTGAGTCTTTCTGCAACTTCTGCTTTCTCGGCTTCAGCGCGCATGCAGAGATCTTCAAGGAAATCGGCGATGGCGGTGGACGGCTTAAAGCTGACGTCCGCGCTGCTCTCTGCCATCGTCTGGAAAAAGCCGGATAAGTCCCAATAACGCGTAGAATTTCATCGCACTCACAGGTCCAACTGTCAGTTTTGGCTGAGTGTTGCTGGAACCGAATTTGACGGACATATACAAACAATCTCCCGGCATGTCCGGCATGTCTTCGAGGTACGTCGAGGCACAACCATTGGTTGAATTTGCATAAGCCTAGTATGCAACATCGGTTACATTGCCAGTTTAGTCGTAGCTGCTGCGCGAAAGATAAACGAATCAACTCCAGCACAGAGCAAATAATCGCCTTCGCACCTGCAATATCTGGCTCAAATGAGCGAAGATGAAGGTAGTGTACAATAGTGTGTTTCATTCTGTTGAATCACCGGTTGCTGCCCGCTGAAGGACGCAGAGCATTCCAGAGACGTCTGCACTGGCAGATCAATCTTTTGAACTGTGTGTGTGGATCAGCGGCATCGAGGGTAATCGCAGGTGGGGTGTTCACGCACGCGGACAAAACTCTGCCGTGGATGGATTGCCGGCCCTAGGACATTCGCAGGGACAAAGTGTACTGGTATCGGTTCTCGCGCGATTGAACCAAAGTGAGGGGTTGTAATGGGCGGTGACAGTGGCTGAGTGCGGAATGACCGAAGTCCGATCCTAGTTTGTAACCGTAAATAAGCCCCAAAAGTCCCAAAGAAATGTCGTGCAGTGCAAATCCCCGACACCGAGGATGGGAAAATATCGCACGGGTGCTGCGCCGATAAGGAGCTATATGTTGCATGTCAATGTCGGTGCCATTTTGAGTGCCGACGGGAAGAAACCCGCTTACGATTCGACCACACAAATGCCACCTTGAGCATTAAGGTTGAAGGTGCAGGAAAACTGAGTCTAGCACTCGTTGCCGTGCGATATCAAGGCCGGGCTATCTCGAAATCGGTGATCGTTATACGGTGAAGAATGGACGGACTTGGTTCCTATAGTCATCCGTACGAGCGAAAATTGCACAGACATGGATTGCATATACTTGCGGACCTTCAAGTTATTTGGCGCCGACCTTGACGAACAAGTGGAGTGGCTGCAGACCAGATCGTGAGTGGAATCCGGGTAGAGGCTCCACCAAAACCTTCGCAATGAGGTAAGGAGTTGACAGAATTATGCCACCTGGAGTGGAAAAATAAGGCCAGGATCCCCCGCCTTTTTTCTGCTCCTGGAGTCATGGGTTCCCGACTCCATGCGTGAAAAGACCTCCAAATTAGAGGAATCTTTGTGGGGCAGCGATAAAAAGGGGATTGGATGCTGGCCGAGACCCTGTACTTCAATGTTTTCTTCTAATTCGCTAGTTTTTTTCGCCAGGTATAATGGAGACGCTGCACTGCGGGCCGAGAAGTCCGAGACCGAGTAATAATGGCGAACCCCACAGAAGCTCGTCAGAACTGGTTGAAAGTCAGTCAGCAGCTAAGATCCAGAATTCCACAGACTCCAGAGCGACCTGTCGATAAAGCAGCTATCCGCTGATGGTGTGAGAGACGAAGAGAATGGATTGATCGTAGATCAAGGTGTGATAGGCCGCCGATCAGTCTGCACAGCCACACGCTTCTGCGAGAAATCCGCCTTCTTGCTTCTGCGCCACAGAAGGTTAGAGCAGTTCCTGGATGAATTGCTGAAGCCAGCTCACTCGTATAGATCTACTGCGCTTCATGGAGTAAATTGATCATCCGTTCAAAACTGGCCGTTCGGAACGGTTCAAGTTTTTAAACTTGAACGCCCTACGGCGGTTTTGTTTCGACGTTTCAACCCAAAACGCGAACGGAACGGGATAAATCCAGCTCCCAATTCAATACGTACCATACGAGACACTACCTCCGCTAATTTTTTATTTGCTGGCAACAAACAATGGTCCCAGTATAAATTCCCATCAAAATTCCGGCAACTTCAAGTCTCTCCTTGTCTCGAACCACTACCATCGTCTACTGGCTCGCTCCATCGTGTATCGTCTGCGACGTTAGGCACCTCACTTATATGAGTACTGATTGATCTGCAGATATACATCGCTTCCTCGCACCCACCTCCTTCAACTTGCACCAAAGGCGAAACCGCGGCGGACCACGAAGATCCGAATCCCCTCATCGGCGGAGCAACATCATGTACCTCGTACGGGAGCGCCCCCGACAATGGCGGTACTCGTGGCCTGCCCTAAGGTGCTCTACACAGAAATCCTGACGGGCGTAACGGACCTAGTAACACCTCTGTCGCGCGCGGGCTTCAACAACCTCCCGAGGCGGAGACTCAGCAATGGGTCGAAGACGCCGATAGGACCGATGCGGACCAAAGAACTGATGGGCGAGGTGCTAGGTGGTTACCGGA